TAGTCTGAAAGGGGCTCAACAGATATTTGCTGTTGGCAGTTGTCATCTTCTCAGTTGATTAATTAGAGTGCTCATGGCTCTGTCCAGATTTGTCATTTTCCCATCTGGAAATTAATTCCCTAGTTTGTCAATGAGAGCTATGAGTATAGTGACATTCTCATCATCACATGGCCCTTGTCATCAAGGTCATCAGATACTTCTGGTCCTACACCTTGGCTTTTTTAACCTCTTCCTTCGACTCAGGCTCCAGTGCTCAGAGAGTTTGATTGGTTTCATAGTCCATGTTTCTAGAATTGCAATGTTAATTGTGCCTGGTGTCTTTAAGAAAGACTAGGAACACCAAGTCTTGGGTGAGGAAAGCTCCATAATTAGTTCCTTGATTAAGATATGCTATATTTCCTGAGAAGATGAAAAGGATCAGAACCGTCACTTTGTGTCATTTATAACTAAACATCCCCAAGTACAATAAGTTCACTTAGTGGTGCCCAAAATATATGGCATAGAAGTTCTTTTTTTTGGGTACTGAAGATTGAATTCAGGAGCACTTTACCCCTGAGCTTCATCTCTAGCAATTTCCATTTCTTATTTTGAGACAGGGTCTTGCTAACTTGCTGAGCTGGCCTCATACTTGATATCAAACTGCTTAGGATGCTGGGAAAAAAAAGGCTGTTAAGTTTATTCAGCCTCCCAAATCACTGGGATTATAGGCTGCACTTGTGCCTGGCAACATGGAGGTTCTTTACAAAGAGTTGAGGGAAGGAGAGAAAAACTGGGTTCCATGGGAATGAAAAATATGGTGTCCAATGAAAATAGCCTGGAGGACATTATATTAAATAAAATAAAGGAGTGACAGAAAGAGAAATAGCCCATGATCTCATACCTCTGTGGAATCCCTGGCTGAACAGAGCATTCATCACCTGATGATGGGTGATGGATGGGGAGAAGCTGGTGCCTGGGTACATGTTAAAATGAGACAGAAGGAAAATGTTCTGGTTTCTTATGGTATAATAAGGTGATTATAATTAAAAAGAATGCATTGTATATTTCAAAATCACTAGAAGAGAGAATTTTGAATGCTCTTACCACAAAAAAATGATAAATGCTTAAAGTAATATGTATGCTAATAACATTTATTTGATCATTACACTATATATATATATATATATATATCCTATCATGTAACATAGAACCCCATAAATAGATATAATTGCTGTGTGTCAATCAAAAATAAAGATAAGGGCTGGGGATGTGGCTCAAGCGGTAGCGCGCTCGCCTGGCATGCGTGCGGCCCGGGTTCGATCCTCAGCACTATGTATGCTAATAACATTTATTTGAATATTACACTATATATATATATATATATATATCCTATCATGTAACATAGTACCCCATAAATAGATATAATTGCTGTGTGTCAATCAAAAATAAAGATAAAATAAAAATTACCTCTTAAAGTAGAACACGAATTGGAAGAAACTTCAGCAAACAAATGTGTATGACAAAGAGAAGAAAGGCATGTGATCAAGGAATCAGGATTGCTTTTAAAATTTTGTGGTGCTGGGGATTTAACCCAGGGTCGTGTGCATGCTAGGCAAGTACTCTACCAAGAGCTAAGAATGTGCTCTCCTGTACTAATATCCTGATTCCTGGATTTTACCACACCCTTCGCATCCAGGAATCAGGATTTTCATGCAGCAGAACAGTAAGGCAAATCCACTGGTGTCACCTGTGTAACAGACCTGACAACTCATACTGAGAGAAACAAGAAAAAAACGGCTCTATATGGAAGTTCTCAAGAAAAGAGCTTTTGGTAGGAGAGTAGTGAATTAAAAGGGTGGACAGATTTGAGGAGATGATAAAATCAATGGTTTCATTAAGTAGTCCAAATCGTAATGGACACTAGATTTTGTTTAAGAAGCTTCCATATTTACATTTCATATTTTGTTCTGATCACTTACTCCTATCATATAACCTTTCCTTTTATTTAAGAAGAATGTCAGTGTGATTAGATAGGAACTCTGAAATTCCTATTGCTCAGTCTGAGTGTGTGTCCTCTCTTCTATTCAAAGCAATGTTGAAATGTCCCTATTCTTCAGAACACTTGACCCCACCATTCTCATCATTCATAGACTTCATAGGTGAATTTCTAATATCTAATTTCTTCTTTAAAGCCTTGTATGTTTTACTACCCATTCTTTGGAAACAATAGTTCAAGTAATGCAGTGATTCAAGAGACACAGAAAATTTTAAGGCAGAACAAAGAAGAACTTTTAGTATTCTAAGGCAGTCATAGAAGGTTTACAGATCATTCCCCTTTCAAGGTTGATCTTTGCATTTGTGTTTTCCAGTCTGTGAGGAATAATCCTTTTTTGTTCTCTACCTTCCTCTTCCTCCTGCCTAAGGCTTGATGTGTTTGCTTTGTATTGCTGTCATAAGAAACGATCACACATTTAATAGCTTACAACAACAAAAATCTCATAGTTTCTGTAATTCAGAAATCTGGGGAAGAATCTGCTTTGAAGCTCACTTGGGCTGTTGGTTTAAGTCAGTGCTCTGTAGGGCTGAGGTTTCCATTCCCTTGGGAAGGATTCAGCTGTGGCTTGCTCACATTAACTCTTACGCTTTGCCGTTGAGTCCTTCAAGTAATGATGGATGAGTGCCTCTTATGCTTTGAATTTCTGACTTATCTGCCTCATTGTTGTGACTCTAGCCTTGAAAATTATGTGCTGTTAAGGGCTTGTTGTGATTTAATTAGATCCACCTGAATCATCCAAAAGGAAAAAGAAAAATCCCCATCTTATGGTGCATAATCTTAATAGAGTCCTCAAAGTTCCTGAAACATAGTATATTCATAAGTTCAGAACATGGGCGTGTTTGGGAAGGCATTCTGTGTGCCATATTCACCTCAATAACGTTCACTTACTCTTTAGGAGATGACAGCACTGCTGAGTGACCTGGAAACCTCCTATGTCTGCCTTAGAATATTGCATGTTTTCCTTTGTTCTGCTGTAACATTTTCTGTGTCTCTTCATCAATGCACTGATTGAACTATTGTTTCCTTAAAAGTTCCTCAGCTAGACTATGAATTGATATACCTATTCATCTACATATACCCACGACTAATATCATGTTCATATTTATTTTTACTTGTGTTTTATACATCTTATTCCATGGATGTCACACCTAAGGACAGTGACAGTTGAAAAGTTGTTTCTTTTTTTTTTTTGTGGGAAAAGTTATAGAGAAAGATATCAGACGAGGAATAGTGGACACTGAATTCTGCCAAATCCCTGTGTACTGTGCAGCTTTCAGGTGGGTTCCTCACCTGGGTGCATGAGGTTGGTGTGACTATGGGAACATCTAAGAGTTAACTAAGGAGTCACTGAATCCTGTGTTCTAGTTTATCTCTGAAAGGGATTCTTGAAAAGTGCCTGCATTTTCTTCTTGTTAGCCTCAGAGGAACGCTGGGTACGTGAGAGGGTCTTTCTAAAGCAACTTTCTTACTGGTTTGCTTCAAGTGTAAGCCTGCTCTCTTCCTTCCAGCTGTATCTGTTGGTGTTTTCCAAGAATTCAGTTATTCATGCTACTCCAACCATTTATTCTTATTATTCTGAACACAGAGGTCAGTGTCCATCTCAGGCACTTTACCCTCAGGAGTTAATTTCTGGAACTGAAACACAATCACCAACCTCCACTGATGCTTATGGCAGCCAGTGGGCTTTCTGCTTCCCACACAGTCGCTCCCTTAATCATCCCAATCATTCTGGACATGAGATTATTAACTATGGGTGAAAAATGAAACTATGGCTTCGAGGTTTTTGTTAAGACCAGTGATGGAATCTAAACTCAAACTCAGGTCTACCTTCTCAAGGCAAGTGGTTGAATCTTGATTCCACATCAGTTGCTGAACTTTATTAAGTAGCCCCTTTCACCCTTGCTGTCTCTCTACTAAGTATTTAATAGGCATTTGTGAAGAAACCAACACAGTGCTATATTTTCAATACCTCTTTAATAAAGGAATACATTTGATCTATAATCACATTCTGTGTTGGTCAGGCATGCACACCAGTGTTTTCATCATGCTGGGGGTCAATTTTACATGTTCTAGTAAATTCAAATGCTGAAATTTATTTGTATGGCTTGAGTTTTCTTTATAGTGTTCTTTTTATCCAGACTTCCAGAGGGTTTGATCATAGGTGTATAGTGGGCAGGACATAAACTAAATTAGATGAGAAAGATATGACTATTATTCAGCCACTAATGAGGCATATAATTGAGATATCTAGTCAGATACTTCCAATTGTTCCTAAAATGAGGGTTTAGTTACAAAGTTCAGATCATTCCTGCTCATGGGACATGAAGTGCCAGTCAGGGAGGTGTGGAGCACTGCAGATGTTCTATATTCCCAGAAGTCCATGAACACCTGAGCTGATAACTTCAGCTGCACAAGGGACTTCCTAGAAGCAGCCATATATTTCTCAGGCCAGTGAGTTGCCAGATGTAACTGTGGGCTATTAGCAGGGCATACAGGAGCCCCAGTACTGCTCTTCCCGTCAAAGCAAGATCTCTCTCAAGTAAGTAAGTTGAAGTTTCAGAAGCTCCAAATTCAGATCATAAGCCACCTATGCTTATCTTAGAAATCCCAAGTGATAAGATATAGCGAATTCCCTGCACAGAATTCTCTCAGATAGGTATATTGAAGTGTTAGAAACCCCAAATTCAGGTCTTGAGAAATTCTGTTCTTAGATATCTTGAGGGCTGAAATATAGCAATCTGAAGAAAACTCTGTCCCTACTTCAATTTACTTATGTAGATGCTTGCTCTCTCTCTCTCTCTCTCTCTCTCTCATCACCTTCCCACATCTATATATTCTATCCATTGCTCTTGGTCTCTGAAATCACCAGGTTTTCTACCTTCTATGTTACTCTCTCAAAAGGAATAGCCCCTCAGGTTGAACTTTGGGAGGAGATGCCCTGATGTGAATTCTATTTTTTTTCTAGGATTCTGGCTGTTTAGAAGCTATGTGGAAATATTCTACTAATGCTAAAAGATTCCAAAATAGGTGAGTTTTCTTTTTAATTACAAAATAGAGAAGTAAACAAAAATGCATAGGGAAAAGCTTACAGATAAGTAAGAGGAAGGGGGCCTAGGAATGCAGCATGAAGAAAAAAAGTACATCCTGAGGACAATGGAAAGAGGAGCCTTGAGTACAGGTGCAGCAAAAAATACAGATGGAAGGCTGGAGGTGAGGCTGTAGAGTAGGAGTCAAAGTTCAGAGTTGCACCATCTTCAGTCCTAAGCCTTTGATAACCATCCACTTTGGATTTTCACTAACCCCCATGAAGCCCTTGCACTAAGAACAGCATTAGTAGGGACTGAAACCACAAATAAGAGTCAGAGCTGGGTTTTTGGAAATGGTGGTACGGAGCTTTTATTCACGAGATTCACAAGGCTATAATGCAGGGTAGACAGAGAAGTGTACACAATAAGATCTGTGTTCTCGACTTCTGTGGGGTGGGGAGTTTCCCCTCTACTGGTTTTGATCAACCAAGTATTAATAAAGAAGGGCATCCTGGACCTCAGCCATGGAAGATGTTTTGAACAGGTATTTTTCTGCAATCAGGGAAACTCTAGGACCATCCTGTTTTAAGGTTTAAAATCTGGACATATCTGGATATTCTCAAGAAAAAGGAAAAGAATTTTGAGAAAAAGGAGAGAAATATTCATTTAAGGCTGACCATTAAAAGACTCATTGATTCTAGGTTAATGAGTTTGAATTTGGTCATTGGACAATGAAGGGACCATTTAAGGTTTTAATAAGAAAATTGCATTTTTGCATTTTTTAAAAATATTCAGTTCCACTTTGGTTAGAGATGACTTAGAGATAGGCTAGGGATAGATTAGAATGCAGTTATTACGGCATAATAATGTGATATCTTGTGCCTGAAGTGTGGAAGGAAATGAAGAAAGGTGCCAACAGAGGCACTTTGGGGTCAATATTTTCATCAACTGTTATCTTGTTTAACGCAGTGGGCCAAGGAAAAGGAGGAGGCAAAGTGATACAGGGATTTTAAGTCTCAGTCTTGGGCATAATGATGATATTATTATCAGAGGAAAAACAGATGAAAAGTAAATCTGTGTGGTAGAGAAGTAAATATGAATTCCATGGTTTCAAGAAACACAGTGGATTTGATTCTGAAATTAATTGGTAAAAAAATTACTTTCAGTGAATTAAATTCCTTCAGGGAGAAAAGCAATGCTGAATGGATTGAAGAATGAAGCAGAAGGAAGAAACATGGAAGTCCAGCAAATCTTGATGAACAACTCCAAGGATATCCATTTTGGGGGGCATTTATCTTTCATCTGGATGAGCGGATGGAGGAAATTAGTAACTACGGAGTTAGGGAACTGGGAATCATAGAGAGATAGTGGAGGCTCAAGACCATAAAAAAAGATTGGGAAGAGGCAAAAGCTGTGGTCTAATGAGTAAGTGGTTTACTCTGGAATGGGCATAAGAATTGAGGAAGTAGTGACAAGGAGAGTTTTGTCTCTTGTTTTGAAAAAATGTTACCCATGAATTGAACAGAGATTTATAGTTTTAATGTGAGGAAGGGTGCTAGACACAGGTATAAAGGAATATAAACTGTATGTTTGTCTTCTTTGTGGGCCAGGGGCCCTACCATCTAGGCAGCAGTGCAGCATGGGAGGAGACACCCACAACAGCTCAGGGTTGCCTCCTTTCATCTTGACAGGGCTCCCAGGGCTGGAGGCCTCCCAGCACTGGATGATTTTGCTCCTTGGACTCCTCTACACTGTCTCAATCGTGGGCAATAGCCTGATCCTTTTCATTATCAAGGAGGAGCAGAGCTTGCATCAGCCTATGTACTATTTCCTGTCCCTGCTCTCAGTTAATGACCTGGGTGTGTCTTTCTCCACACTGCCCACAGTACTGGCCACATTTTGCTTCCACATAAGGGAAATCGGTTTCAATTCCTGCATGGCCCAAATGTTCTTTATTCATTTTTTCTCTTTCATCGAGTCTGGGATCCTGCTGGTCATGAGCTTTGACCGCTATGTGGCCATCTGTCACCCCCTGCGCTATGCTACAGTGCTCACTGATGCCCGTGTGGTGCAGATGGGCATGTCTGCTATTATCCGCAGTTTCTGCATGATTTTCCCTCTGCCTTTCCTTCTGTTGAGGCTGCCCTTTTGCAAGGCCAATGTGCTCTCCCATGCCTACTGCCTGCATCCAGATCTGATCCACCTGTCCTGTGGTGACGTTACCATCAGTAATATCTTTGGTCTATTTATTGTCATCTCTACCTTTGGCCTGGATTCTGCACTAGTGTTCATCTCCTATGTGCTCATACTGCGTTCTGTGCTTGCCATTGCCTCCAGGGAGGAACGACTGAAGACGCTCAACACGTGTGTGTCACACATGTGTGCTGTGCTCATCTTCTATGTGCCCAAGGTTGGCGTGTCCATGGCTGCTCGCTATGGGAGGCATGCCCCACCCTATGTACACACACTCATGTCCCTTATTTATCTATTTGTGCCTCCCATGCTCAACCCTGTCATCTATTCCATTAAAACCAAAGAGATTCGGCGAAGGCTTTGCAAAATTCTTCGGAGAAGGAAGTTTTGAGCAAGAGACATGCTGAAAATCCAGGTCCTGAGGATAAGGTCCCCTTATATCCACAAATTGAGCTTACAAAACTTGCTTTGATAAGGAATTTTAAATATGCCTCTGTCATGTATGTTACTGTTGGGATTCCTGTCATGAGATGTTTGATGACAGCCTGGCAGTCATTCATAAGTAAGCCAAAAGCATGTCATGGTAAAGTGGGCCATAATTTATTAAAAAATTTTGTTCAGCTTACTTCTTTTAACACAGGAAATTAGTGTCAGTTTGGAAACAATTTGTAATGCAGAAAGGGTGTGGTGAGCCGTTCCTGCGGACTGTGGTCGCCATTACATGATGGCGCTGGCTCCGCTGTGGTCTGTGAAGGACAACTCCATATCAGAGAGAGTTGGCGTATTGTCAACTCCTTATCAGAGAAAGTTGGCGTGTCGTTCTCTAGCACCCTGTGAGAAGGGTCCACGTGGCAGCTTCGCATTGGGGTTCGCGGTGCTTTATTAAGGCTGGGAGGGGCATCCGAAAATGATTAGAAGAATTATTAGAAGAATATCAAGGGCCTGAATAAACTGCTGAAGGAAGATTCCTGAGTCCGTCTTCCTTGCGGGCAAGGGGGTCGTGACAAAAGGGTTTTCAAAATTAAAGGTTATGTTTAAGAGATGTTATAAGATGACACACATAGAATTAAGATGTATGCCAGTATTTATTTATTTATTTATTTATTTAATATACCATACACTATTTACGTGAAGTAAATGTAATTGCAAATAAATTGTATTAAATGATCAAGATTTTAAATAATATTAAAATTTGGCAAAGGTTATATTATGATTTAAATTGTATGTCTTTGTGTATTCAGCAACAAGAAAATAATACGGTAGAATTACTATAGTACATTGTGTAAAATCCAATATGTTTTCCCAAAATTCATGGTCTTATAAGACTATGGAGGTATAACTTTATGACAAAAAAGATAAAATAAAATAAATAAATATTCAATTTAAGACACTATGAAAAAATAAACACTTTGAAAATGATTGAAAATACTTAAAGTTACAAATTAATATGAAAGGAAAAGAGAAAACAATTAAAAAAAACCCTAATTTTTTAACAAGGTTGTAAAACTGATGAACATCTGGAAGATGAAATCAAATGAAACTAAAACATCACACATATTAACAGTGTGGAGGTATTTGTAAATTATGGAGGAAAGATCTATGAATAATTTAAATCTTGACTAAATTGATATTTTGGGAAAATTAATAAAATGTAAACATATGAAGAATTAAATGATGATTGAGGAAGAAATAATTAATTATAAAACAATTATTCTGCCTCTTACATCTAAAAAATTATAATACAAGATCCTTTCCTTATTCTCCCAAGAAAATTTTAAGAAATTTTACAACTTGTAGTATATTAAATGATAAATAATATTGGAAAGCTATACAACCTTGTAAATATAGGCCTGATAAGTTACATGGAAAAAAATATATCAGCAAAAAATACTATATACTAAACACACTAATGACAATATAGGTATAAAGAGTAGAAGTTGTGAAGTCATTGAAACAACATGGAAAAAAGAATGATGATGCACATATATTTTAGAATAAAAAATTATTTTCTGAAATGTTGCAATATGAAACTTATCAAGTAAGAAGTGTGATAATAAATTTGGAATCACCTATAAATTTTTAAACACATGAAGTGAAAAATGATACATTTTAGCTTAAAATCATTTTATTTTTTGTAGATTTTCTTAATGTTCAATACCATATAATTTCTGGTTAAAATAAGAGAACAACAATTTTTTTTTTTTGGTCTGAGGGATTAAATCCAGGGTCTTTAACCATGAAGCCATATCCCCAGACATTTTTATGTTTTTAAATTTTGAGATAGAGTTTCACCAAGTTGCTTGTAGCTTTGGTAAATCACTGAGAGTGGCTTTGAACCTGGGATTGTCTTGCCTCAGCCTCCTGGGCTTTGAGATTACAGGTGTGCATCACCTTATCTCGCAATTTATTCATATGATTAAGCATCTTTATATACCTGATTTTTAAATAAATCAGTAATCAATATTATAGAACTTGAACAAGAAATGAGCTATTTCTTCTATTCTTTTATATGTATATGCACATTAAATCTTGACAACCCTAATTAGACTTTGATGTATTCAATCTTTGCCTGTCAATCACCATTATTTCTTTATTTTATTTTTTCTATTTTTATATATGACAGCAGAATGCAATTCTAATCATATTACACAAATATAGCACAATTTTTCATGTCTCTGGTTGTACATAAAGTAGAGTCCCACCATTAGTATTTACATATATGCATTTAAGGTAATGATGTCTGTCTCATTCTATCATTTTTCCTATCCTATGCCCCCTCCCTTCCCTTCCCTCACCTTTGCCCTATCTAAAGTTTGTCTATTCCTCCCACACTGCCCCCTCCATTCCCATTATGAATCAGCATCTTCATATCAGAGAAAATATTTTGAATTTATATTTGGGGGATTGGCTTACTTCACTTACCATTAGATTCTCCAACTCCATCCATTTACCTGAAAATTCCATGATTTTATTCCATTTAATGCCGAAGAAAAATCCAATGGGGAAAAAAAACAAAACTTCTTTATCCATTCATCTACTGAAGGGCATCTAGGTTGGTTCCACAATTTAGCTATTGTGAATTGTGCTGCTATGAACATTGATGTGGCTGCATCACTATAGTATGCTGTTTTTAAGTCCTTTGGGTATAAACCGAGGAGTGGGATAGCTGAGTCAAATGGTGGTTCCATTCCCAGTTTTCTAAGGAATCTTCATACTACTTTCCATATTGGCTGCACCAATTTGCAGTCCCACCAGCAATGTATGAGTGTGCCTTTTCCCCCCACATCCTCGCCAACACTTGTTGTTGTTTGTATTCTTAATAGCTGCCAATCTGACTGGAGTAAGATGAAATCTTAGAGTAATTTTGATTTGCATCTCTAATTGCTAGAGATTTTGAACATTTTTTCATGTATTTGTTGTCAATCATCATTGTTAATACAATCAAATAATATTTATAGATGGAGAGAGTTTGTTCTGGAAGCAGGTTAAAAACACCAACATACAATGTATTGTTAAATGTTGATGCATTTTTGTAGAAATTATATTTGGGAGGATTAGTACAAATTTTATTATTAAATTATTATTGTCAGATTTGGCAAGATATACTTTCTTTTTATCTTCTTTCTGTTTTTTTCTTTTACACATACATATTATGTTTGAAGTAAAATGTGAGACAGAGAGATAGATAGATAGGCAGGCAACTGAGAGTAACCTGGGAGTTCTAAGAGCTGAGCCTCTAAGGACGGTTGTGGCATTTCTGCCCTGCTGAAAGAAGCAGAAGAAGTGTTGGATGCTTAAGGCCCTGGCAGGGCCAGCTCACGCACAACAGGCTGAGTCACTGGCACATGCTATAGGAATGGTGACCTCTGTCTATTCTCAAAAGGTGAATTTCTACTAAGTATTCTCATATCAACATGCTATGCCTCTGTAGGGAAGGATGGCAGGAAGATGGTTTGTGGTGGTCAGAAAAACATCACCATGGGAAACCTTGCCTTTTCTAAATAAATACCAGTCTCATATTACTTCAGACTTCAATAACAAATGATTGACGCTGGGTCATCATGTGCTTCAATACCAAATCATTCCTAGAGGACTGCCATGTCTCTTTTGAGTTTTCCTAGAATTCTAGTCTTACCAGACTATCACGAACTCCCTGTATCCTCTCTACTGCCTTCTTCCTGAACCATTGTCCTGTCCCTCTTTCTCTTCTAATCTCACTCAGAGTGCCACACATCTGATCTTTCTCTTCTGAATTCCTCTGTGCCACGTCATGACTGGCCCTGGACCAGGACAGCTCTTTGTGCAAGGATTTGCCTCTATACCTGGACTTAGAGCTCCCTGCAGCCAGAGCTGACACTTTTCTTCTGGTATCACCTTGAGGACATGGTAATAATTTTTCCTTCACTTGCTTTCCTGGGTAAAATGTCTCTTCCATTAGTTCATCACAGGTTTATGGCTGTGCCTCCAGCTGAATAGTCTCAATATAATGTAAATGAATAGAAATGAAATCACTAAATATCTACTACATGCCAAGCACCTATGCTAGACTTGTTTTCACTCCTCAACACAGTGGCATGATGCAGATGCCATTTTTTTTTGTTACTTCAACAAAGAATATGACACACACCAATATGATCCATAACACTTTTTCAACAATATTGATAGACTAATTTTAATTATGTGTATGTCACAGATACAATGCTGCTGTGTTGAGGTTTTGAAATGATAATTAACAAATTAGCAAATAGATAAATGCTACAGATTAAGTCATGTAGATATAATGAAATAGAGTATGCTTTTGTATATTTAAGGATTATTCACCAAGTACTACTCCACTCTGTATTGAGTGCTTGCTTTGTTTCAGACTCTATAATGAACACTTTACTGGGGCTGGAGACAGGTCTAATGTTTAATTCATGCAACTGGTAAACTAGGAAGCTGAGACTGAAGTTCATGGTCATGTGGATCCATATTTCATATTATTATCCATGATAAAGTGCAAGAAAAAGTATGAGATATTATCCATATAAAAGGAATGACCTTAGACTATTAGTTTCTCTGAATTACAGGCTGTTAATTTAAAATGCAAAGAACAGTTGGCAGGAGTATGAGTAGACTTGAATGTTTTAGCACTGAGAGTGATAAAGAACTGAAGGAATATTAAAAAGAAGAACTTGGATTCAGAGCCAGCTTCCCTGCATCTGAAAAAAGGGATGACTTCATGGCTAAAAGGAAAGGGACCTCAAAAATGAAAGATGGGAGGAGAAATGGGGATAGGAGAAAGAATGAAGAAATTGTGGTTCCATTAAGCACTGGTCATATCTTAAGACTGTTTATGAATGTAGAGTTACTATGTCACATAGTTATCACAATAACCCTGTGGAGTGAGACAATAGAAGAAAGGTCTCAGAAAAGTTTTTTACAGTTTGATCAAAAAGGTCAAAAAGGATTCATAACTTAAGTTTTCAAAATTTAATAACTCAACGTATTCCTCACCACAACTTTAAGAGTTTGATATCATTATTATCCTTCCTTAAAAATTGTCCAAACTCAGTCCTAGAAACATTTAGCAAAATGCTAGAGTCACAAGTTTAGTAAGAAGATGAGCAAAAATTCAAATCCAGGAACTCTGAGTTCACAGTTGGTGCCCTTAACTGCTACCCTATGTGATG